AAATAGTGCTAAAACTGTTTATTCTTACGGTGTAATGTCCACTCCAAAAATCTGCATTTTTATACAAAAAGTCACTAGATTTCCACCATTTTACTGTATTTATTAGATCTGAAGCAGCATCATTTTATTGATATTTTCACCGTTATTTTACAGTTTTTGATCGTTGCCTTTGCAGTTTAGGGCTCCATAGACAAAACGCCATCCGATGCCTGTTGTAAAGTTTCCTCCTCCCCGTCTGTCCTCCTCTTTGCTCGACTGCCTCGACTCCTCCGTCGTTTCTGGGCCTCTAATCAATCAGCATCAGCTGCTGCCAGCCTCCTCAGTGGCTAAACGACCTCACATCCCTCACGGCGCTGTCAGAGCTCACCTCAGCCACCGTGAAACCTCCAGAGGTTTCTGCCGACCAGCATCTCCTCCCGACGTCGCCGCTGACAGGCCGCGGCTCACACACATTTCCCCTCCTCTTTGTTTTTTTTCTTTTTTTTTTATAGCGCCGGGTTTTGTTCGGTGTTTATCCCGGAGCTCCAGCGGCTCAGTGCCACTCAGTGAAAGAGAGACGTATAGAGGAGGACAGATGCAGGAGAACAGAGGGGCTCTGAGAGATGTCTGGTCTGAACCGGACGATACGCTGGAGAAAGAAAAAAAAAAAAAAAAAGGTTCTTTAGTGGTTTGAACTGTATTTTTCTTTTTCAACATTTTATTTTTTAGATATGCTATAGTTCTATAGTTATTTAATAGTTTACCTGAATTTCAATGTGAGGTAATAATTTACATGTTGACTATAGATTAAAAAAAAAAAAAAAACATTTTCATACAACATTTTCCTGTGAAGTCCAAATTTTTTTTACTGTATTTGAATCATGTAAAAATCTATATTTTACAGATATTTGCTATTATTTTAAAGAAAAAGATGCATATTTGAGCTTAAAAATGATCTATCAATTTTTAACTACTATTTTACAGATTTTCCTGTTTTGTTAAATTGCAGACAATAACTAGTTAAATCAGTAGTAGTATTTTAAAAAATTTAGATTTACAAAAAATGTCGATAAAAAAAAATTAAAAATAGGCCAAAACTGCAAACAGTCCCCAGTGGATTTCCCCTGATTTGTGCTGTAAAGTAATAATATAATAAATCTAACAAATAATCTAGTAAAATAGCAACATTACAAACTGTATTTTTTTTTTTATCAGTGCTAATTAATTCTTTTACAATGTTTTACTACAAAGTTGCTCTTTGTTAGCAAAAAATATCATTATTTTACAGACATTTGCAGGTATTAATAAGAAAAAATATTTATTTTAAGGATTAAAACTTATGAATCAGATTTAAGAGTTATTCCTGTTCCTTTTGTCTTAAATTACTGATGTTGATTTTAAAAAAAAATTTGAAAAAATAAGCTAAACAAAACAAAGCAAAAAACAACAGGCCAAAGCTGTAAATAATGTCCACATGAGAAATCTGTATGTTTTACAAAACTTCTTTTGTTCTTTTGCAATATTTCACAGAAAATTTAGGCCATTTCAATAAGTAAAAATGTATTTGTTTTACAGATATTTGCCATAATTTTAAATATATGTAGTTTGCCTCCATTGTCTACGGATTTTATTTGGTATGCTTCCAACCAGACTGACTTTTTTTTTCATATTCTTTAAATTTTACATATGTACAATTTATTTTTTTTCCGTTAGAGTCAACATGTAGATTATTTATATTTTCTCTAATTTTACTAGACATTATTTGTAATTTACCAAAATGGGATAAATCTGTAAAATATTCAGTATTTATTCTATTAAGGGGGAACAGAAAATGACAGAAGAAGAGAATCCACGTCCAGAATCGGCACCAACAAACACTTTCCTGTTCATAATTAAACAAACTGTCGCCGTTTTTCTGATTTTCTTTTCCCTCCATCCGGCGTTCACAGTAAATTAATTAACGAACACGTGAATGAGTGAGTGAGTGAAGGAGTGAACGGCAAACAGGTGGACGGTAATTCCCCCCTGAGGCTGCTGTTTGTGGAACCTGAGCCAGAAGCTGCTTGTAATAATAAATGCTTCGGTGCTGTTCAGGGATTTAACGGATGAACGGGCCTCATAAAGCGATCCAGCCGGCACCGAGAGGAAACACAAAGAGACGCTGCTGTTTGTTTTCACGTTGTTTACATCGAGGTGGATTCCTTTGTTCTGCCAAAAACTTTCTGAATGAACAAACGAGGCAGGAAGGATTTTCCTCTGAGCTCCTCCTGCTGCTGCTCCCGTCGTTTTGGTGACGGGATGCTGCGCTCAACAGGAAAATGAAGCTCTGGCTAGTTGGATAATTGATTTAATAAAGTCAATCAGGACGGCACATCTGTAAAAAAAAACAATAAAGAACTGCTATAAACTGATTTTTTAAAATAGTAATTATATGTGAAATAATGATTTTTTTGCTGGAGTAGATACATTAAATGTACATTTATTTATTCATTGGACATTTATTTATTTTACTATTTAAAAAAATCTGTAAAACAACAAAATAATAACAAAAAAATTAACAGTTATTTACATTTTTTAAAGCTTTACCATGCATACATTTTTCTTTTTTGCCGATTTTAATACATCGTAAGAAAACAAATTACTGTTCATAGAAATGCAATTCCTTTTTTTGAAGTGGACCATATTTAAAGCTTTGCTCTGTTTTATTTATATTCAACATGTAAATTCATATTTTTTCTGTCTTGTTATGTTATATTTAGATATCATTCTGTAAAATAATGTTTAAAAAAATTACCTTTTTTCAAGCTTTAATATACAGAACTGTCATTAAAAACAATAAAATAGCAAATATCTAAAAAAAAAAATGTTTTTTTAAATGCTGATTTAAATACAATTTAAAAATCAGTAAAATAATGAAAATGAAAGAATTTTAAAAATAAAAATGATTTAGAATTTTTCACACTTTAATATGTGTTTCTTTTTTAAAACAACAGCAATTATTTTTGAGATGTTGACATTTTTGCATATTTAAATACAAGAGTCTGACAGTCTGACTTTACAGGAAAAAAAAGAAAAGTGGGCGTTATTTTTTTTAAATTTTTTTTACAATCAACTTGTAAATTTTTTTTTCTGTAATTTTAATATATTATCAGTAGCTTGACCAAACTGTGTAAATCTGTAAAATAATTAAAATTTGTCAAGCCTTAACAGACATGATTACTTTTTCAAATAAAAGCAAATATCTGTAAGGAAGCTGTTAGGAATTTTTTGGTAATTTATATAAAATTTAAAAAAAACGTGAGCAACTTTATAGTCAAACGCTATAAAAGAACAAATCACTGATTGCTCATGTGACTTTTTTTTCAGTGATTTTGCTTCATTTTTTCTGTAATTTAACAAATGCACTGAGTCCCTGAACATCATCTGATGATATAAAAGGATTTAATCGGTGGACCGTCTGCGTTAGAGAAGCTGGTGTTTGGTTTTTAAATCACAGAAACATGCTGCTGTTTGTTTCCATGTCGTCTACATCGAGCTGGAATTCCTTTATTCTCCGTCCAAACTTTCCGAGATGACAAACGAGGCAGGAAGGATTTTCCTCCTGCTCCAGTCGGTGTAATTACGTAACGCCGTGTTCAACGGGAGAATGGAACACTGGCTAATTGGATAATTTGCTTAATAAGCTCAATCAGGACTGAACGTTTGCTCCCGATCTGCTGAAACCTGAAAGCTCGTCGTTTTAAGAAGCACTCCTCGTCTCCTTCTGAATCGCTTCACGTCCAACCTTCTCTAAGAATAAACTGAACCTCCGACCCGTCGCCTCTCACATTAAACGTACGTCCACGTCCAGGCACTTTGTTCTGGTCCAATCGTCTAACTGTGTCACAATAAAAGGACGTCCAGAGACAGATGCTGCGTTTTTTTTTTCGAGGTCGGACCAAATGAGCAAAACGGAAACTTGACAAACAAAGTCCGCATCAACGAGGTCACATCTGGAGGGTCTCTGAGCTCATGAGTAGGAGTTCCTGACAAACAACACACCAGATTATGCCTCCTACAAACCGGCAACGTGAAGCTGAGCTGCAGGAGCTAAATGTGTTCAGAGAGACGGTCTACCTTCATCTGGGGCTTTGTTCTTCATGGTCAGACGGACTTTAAGGTGTGTTTTTGATCATTTCGCTGCTACAGAAACAAACCATAATCCCACCAAGAGCAGACCAGATGGTAGCGGCGCTGGTTAACCGTCAGTTTAACTCACCGTGGGATCATTTTTCACCACCATGTAAAGTCCTGCACCTCAGTGGAAACAGAAGAACCAGGACTAGAAGGAGAGGGAGCTTAGAAATGTCGTCTGTGCAGCTAAACACAGTCAGAACGACGTAAATCATGAAAAATGGAAAATTTAAGTTGAATTTCTTTGACCTACTTGTTCTACTCACATTTTTCCAAGGTATGGATGGATGGATGGATGGATGGATGGATGATGACTAGATGGATGGATGGATGGATGGATGGATGGATGGATGGATGGATGATGACTAGATGGATGGATGGATGGATGGATGGATGGATGGATGGATGGATGGATGGATGGATGATGGATGGATGATGACTAGATGGATGGATGGATGATGACTAGAGGCATGGATGGTTGGATGAATAGATGATGGGTGGATATATGATGGATGGATAGAAATAAGCAAAATAAATAGAAGTGTCAACTTGTGCAAAAAAGAAATAGAATAAAAAAATAATATACACACATAAATATACAAGGTGAAAAGTAACCATATTTCTTCATATTTTT